TGATCTATGGAGGAGGCTTGATCTGGCATCCTCCTTTCTTCTTCAAGCCAGAAGTCGATGTTGCTTCCTCACACCTAGTCTCGTGTCTAGCCTCTAATCTAGCAACAAGTGCACTTGTCTCATCTACAGCCTCTATGCTAGCTAAAAGTGCACGAACATGTATTAAATTTCACTCTATCAATATATCGATGTACTCTTCTTCCCAATACCAAAACTTGCATCCATGCCATACAATAAAATTTGTAGTTAGCACAACTAGTCAAAACTAGTACAAACCCAAGCTAAAAAGAGCATATACCCCATCATTTAAGCACTTGATGAACACCTATCCGGGATGTTCCGGCGTTGTAGACACGCGGCGCACGACCATCCTTGGGCAGTGGTCGCACTTAATGAGTGGCAACGGTGCGCCGGCGAGCTTTTGGGCAAGCACCGAGCCCGGCCGACCGCCATTCGTGTATCTGCCGGCGGACCACCGACGGTGCAGATCCGAGCGGCTAGAGGAGGATCCACTGCCTGCATGTGGCCTTGCGGCCCTGATAGGGCCTTCCGGTGAGGTGCCCGACCAGTCCATGGCGCGGCCCGGCCTCCCACAGCCAGGCGAGCTCAAGACCGACCGAATCCGCCCCAAATCCGGTCGGCAGGTGCGCAAACCAGGTGACCGTGGTTGGGTAGCTCGGCGGCGCCGAGGGGAAGGGGCATCAATGGGAAGAGTGGGGAAGAGTGTGATGGAGCACAGACTAGCGAGATGCTAATTTGTGCGTGTAGATGCCCGATCTTTCACGGCGATGCTTGATCAACAGTTCGTCCCCTTGTTCCTCCTCGCAAATTTCAAGATAATTTTCACCCGCGTACGAAAATACACGAATAAAAATAATGACCCCCTTGGATCAGCACGTAGGCGTCGATGTGATGATCAACCCTCCGTCGCTAGTAAATTTCCACGATGGGAAAATCACAGATAATACACAAGATATGGCCGCCCGTAACTCAGACGTTTTTCTGTATATCTCATACTCAAAAGAAAACTCAAAAACTGATCTCTACATCGGCCCTGGCCGGCCCTTTTTATAGGCGACGCGAACTTGGAAAAGACTAAGTCAAACTAAATTGAAATGGACTCTCCTAAGGCTAGTCATAATGGGAGAAACTTAGCTAGTAACATAACATACTCCAAGAAAATTTTGCTTATGTTGCATGTAGTTAATGAGAAGTGGTAACATAATATGTTACTGTAATATAGCGCTTCCCAAAACAGGATGAGTCTACAAGTTAATAAATGAAGTCATCTATAATACTACTATTATGTTACTTTGCACTACGAAGGTAGTAACTTAGACTAGTATCATATGCATGACACTAGTATAAGTTACTCCCCACTATGACCAGCCTAACAAACTAAGGATTTAACTAATTAATTATTCGGCTATATTGATCACCTTAATTAACCTAGACTCAAAACATGTACGTAAATAGTACAACTTGACTGTCACGTCTGCCCCATACAAGCAAAATTACAGGTCTTGGTGAAACTCACGTGGCCTAACACAAAAATAAAATGATTTGATTAAATAAAAGACGGAGACTTATCCCTTGGCAGATCCTATCAATTGCATGCCTGTAGTTTAAATAGAAAAGTGTCGATCCTTATTATCTTCGGAGGCGTACGAAACGTTGGAATTATATCTTCTGGCTTCGGTTCCTGTTTAGCATCCGATCTGGACCTTTTGTTATACATTCTGCTAGGTATTGATACAAACACTGTATGATGAGAATCAACATGCATTAATTCATTTTCAAATACAGGAGCAATTTTTGGTCCACAAAACTGTCGCACACGACCATCGTTTACTCGGCATAATCTGGTCGCATGCTTGACATTATTTTCCGCAACTTTTTCATGCCTTGACTCATCAAATGGCTCAGCTTTAGTAGAATTATCGATCAATGGTGCCTTGCCCGCATCAGAGTGGAGGGGGTGCGCCGGAGGGAGGGAGGGGGCCGGATAGAAAATGGCCCGCCCTGTGTCACTGACGGGCGGGCCAGGGAAGGACAGCGCAGACGGCCCGCGCGTCCATGTGGTGTTTGTTTCACCCCAAAAGCGGCGCAAACTTGGGCCGTGGATGGGTCGAAAACGAACACAAAACGGACAAAAGTTCATTTGCTTCCGCGCGCTGGGCCGCCTCGTTTGTCCATTTATCCCAAACGGACGAGGACGGATAGGATAGGATCGCGCGGTGAAGTTGGCCTAAGGTCCAGATTTGTCAAAAAAATACGGGACCTGTGCATGTGACACGAGTCGCGCAGACGATATCTCTCCGTACTGGTGTCGCCGGCCCACCCAACGAGAGGCGCGGAAACAGATCTCGAATCGGAATCGCGCATCGGGAGGCAGCCACGTAGAGCGGATCGAAGATATCCAGTGGGTCACCGCGCGGCGTCACGTCGTGCGGACGAGGAGCAGCCGCGCGGCGCGGCAACCTACGCTGCGCTGCGGTGGGACGTGACCCTACTCGCCGCCACGCGCGCGAGACCGCGACGGAGACAGACGACGCAGCTTTCCCCGGGGCCGACGCAAGCTTGCGTCGGGTCAGTCGGAGGCGTACGCGCGAGGCGTTCGATCGCATCATCGGCGCGTGCGTGCGGCACGTTTCCCGGACCACGGGTGGTTGGGGGGGCGCGCGTACGGCGTACCGGCCGCTGTTTTCCTGTCCGGGATGGGATCCGAGGCCGACCGGCGACCGAGATGTCGCGCGTCGCGTCCTACAGTACCTCCCAGATGCGTGCGTGTACTACGAGAGAGAGGGAGAGAGTGGCGGGGTTTTCGGCAGACGTGGAATCACGTCGACGCGGAACCTAATTCGGGGGTCGACTTGACCCGGGCTACGTGACGCGCGAACCACGGATTCGCCGTTTTCTGGCGAGGCATATGCGTGAGGGAGGAACCGCAGAGGAAGCTCATGCTGGTGCGTGGTGATTTTTCGGTTGCTGACGAGATAGTCAGACCACTGCCGCCATCGTCAGGTTGAGATCTCCACCAGATTACCCTCGTGAAAATGATTACGCACGTGCCAAGTGGTGTGAAATCATCGGGCATCTCCGGACGTCCAAGAGTGCGAGACGCTGACTCTTTTCTCATGCTGAGCGTCTAGTGTACTTCGGCCGTCCAGGAACCAGTGGCGTGCCGGTTTGTTGCCACGGGAAAAATTAGCAAATGTAAGCAATCTCGTCATACATTGGCTTGCTAAGTGACGTGTTCAATTATATTTGCTCACTGTCTTTTGGAAGAAAAAAATACCGAGTGCATACTGTGTGGAATTTATTTATTTCTTTCGGGAAACTTTCAATCTATTAAACTTCAATAATGACAGTACAACGAACATCAGAAATAACAAAATTACATGCAGGTTCATAGATCACCTAGTGAAGGGCACAAGTGAAGCGAGTCAAAGACGCGCCGTCATCATTCCCCTTTCTCATCCGAGCCGGGCAAAATTTGTTGTAATTAACAGTCAGAAAGTTTTCATGCTAAGAGCATCTACACCCGGGCATCCTAAACCCGCCTCAACTGACCGGATAGGTCGTTCGGTCACTGACTGGTCACGAAATTGCATCCAGCCGGGCGCCTCAAAAGGGACTCAAACGCTTGGAATCGCATAGAAACCCAACGGTCTGAAGCTCGTCTCCTCCGTCAGACCAATGTTGCTGCATGGCACCGCTCTAGCGGGCCATGTAGTGCCTAGCCCGGCTATTTAAGCCGACCACCGACACTGAAATCCTACCCCCTCTACATTTTCCTCCGCCCGTCCACCGTCGCCGCTACTTTTCACTCTCCATCCACCATCACTAGTAGTCATGCTCCCACGCTGCAGGATAAGGGCCACCCATTTCTGACGCTGGAGCGCCGACTGTAGCTCCTTGAGCAGATCGGGGCAAGGCACGGAGCCCGGATCGCCGCGGGACTACCTCTGAATGCAGTGGATCCGGAGGAGGAGTTGGAGGAGGTTGAGGGGGAGGTTGAGGAACAGGAGCCGAAAAGAGGATGTGGGGGACACCGGGGACACGGATCTGCAGCGCGGAGCAACATGCCATCCTCAATTCCCTTCGCTCAGAGTCGGATGCGGAGGCGAGACGCCGTCGTCGGCAGGAGATGGAGGTGCGGCATGCCGCGGAGGAGGAGGAGATGTTCACCTACATGGATGAGGGCGAGCATGAGGAGGAGGAGCCGGAGCCCTCCTATGCGCCCGCCCACCCGACGCATGACACCGACTTCGTGGACATCTCCGACGACGAAGATTAGCTAGGCTAGTACGTAGGATTTCTTTTGCATGCTTTGTATGGATCCAGGGGTTGAATATATGGGATACTCGAATGCAGAGTAGCTAAGTTGAGGCGTGACTGGTCACTGTCCGTGGACGCGTCCGGTTGCGTTCGCAGGCGTTTGAAGATCCGGATTTGTCAAGTCCGACTGTAGATGCTCTAAGGGTCCATATGAACAACGCACTAGAACAACAACCACCGTGATAAAGAGACACGTAGATCGGAAGGATCCAACTTGAAGACACAGGGACGTGTCGAACAAAGATTGGATCTGTACGATCCACCAAAGACAATCACCGATCAAATCTTACGAGATTTGCTCTCTGACGATGCTAGAAGCATCACCGAGACAGGGGGACTAGGTGGGGAGAATCTTATTCCATCTACAGGGAGCCGTTATCCTCTCGCCTTCCTAACCGTTGTAGTCCGTTTGTACTTGTTTTTTTTTTTTAGGAATTGTACTTGACTTTTGATGAAAAAAAAGGACACGCCCGCAGTACGTAGCAGGGCCGGACTCGGAGCCTTTCGAGGGCCTGAAAACACATACTAGGAAACCCAGCCCACGCTGGTGCGCCCAAGGTGTATAATTGGGCCCATCTTCCGCCAGACATGCCCTCTCTTCCCGCGGCTCTAAGCCCTAGAACACCCCTTGCTTTTGGTCCCTGCTCCCCCCGCCGGCGATGGCCGCGCCGCCGGAGACGACGGGCGCGCCGTCCCCGCCGGAAGGGGAGCACAAGGGCAACGCGGGCGTCGAGGTCTGCTGCTTCGAGCAATCTGCAGAGGACTTCTCCAGAGCGGTACGCGCCATCTCAGAGCTCGCCGCCGGCAAGCCCGAGCCGGGCTTCCCCAACGCCGAGGCGGAGCGGCTCGCCTCCTCGATAACGTTCCTCAGGTGAAGACGCGCTTTCCTTGCTCCACAATCACCGCGATAGAATCTGGCAACTTTCAGTTGTGGGCTTGCAAGCCGTACAGCGGCGTCAGCAATTAATGGCTGCTTCATCGGTTGAACTTTTTACACGTGGCGCGTGACGGAGATGTGGTTGTGCACGTACGGTGGAGCCTGGAACGTGGAACCTCTTTAGTTTTGTTGATTGAATGATTGATATGTCGTTTGTGCGGGAGAATTTTGTTATGGTTTGTGAATTTGGAGTTTATGGCACCATTACAAACGATAAATTCTAGTCGTCATGTTCTTGCTATGGTAGCATTTATTCCTTGCTGTTAGTGTTAACTAGAATTCGTCTGATACAGTCACCGCATGTGATTGTGTTGTTATCAGCTCGTTTTTGTCTGATAAGAATGGTACCATGAGACCTGTTGTGAAAATTTAGTAAGTTCAAGTTTATTGTTAACTGATTGATTATGACAAGATCTTTTAAAGTCAATGGCTGGACGCCTGGACACTGGGAGTTTTCGGCTTTTTCTTGATCTACAGTTGTAGTAGCTTTCATTTTGGATTTAAAAAAAACAGATTTATTGACAAGGCCACTTTTATTGACTTGGTATGGAATTAATTTGAGCCTTTTCTGCTAAGTAGTAGCACATGCTCATTGGAGATTGCTCTGTTTCTCCATAAGTTTAGCACATTGTGAAAAGTTGCAGTTGTTGCATTGGCAGTATACCTAATTGGAGAGCACAAGATGTCTTCTTGTTTCGTTTTTACTAGCTTACTCTGTCCTTCCCTGTTTTCGTATTTTAGTGTTTTTTTGGATTACTCAGAACCCATTCTGCTTGACATTTAATCAATTGTTATCTTCCCAGAGAATGGAAGCATTTTAATTATGAGCCAAAAGGTGTAAGTTTTACTTACGGCACTGGATCAACTTCATCCAGAGATGACACACATGAGATTACCTTACCACAATTCTCGTCTGCATCTGTTCCTCAGGTTAGTAAAACTACGGTGCTAATTTCTGAGTCTAAAGTTCCTGTTATAACATTGGAGGGAAGCTTTCTGCTGATTTCTTGGATCACATCAGTGCAAATCAATGCAGGTCGCACACTTGGAAGATGGGAGGGATAATAATACATACAGGTATTATTTCTAGAAGCTAGACTGTTTCAACTTATTAGAATCTTCTTATTTTGTTATATGATTCTCCCTAAGTTTGTTGAGGAGAGATACATTACGATTTAAGTTCCTCAGTTCTGGTTATTTGGAGTATTGAAGTTATGACCCAAGATTTTTCCATAGCCCTGTTTATGTAATATTTTTGTTTGTCTGCTCACAATTCAAAGGTTGCAGCACATGGACTGTTAAGCAGGCCAGTCCCTATTCTCATCTTGTTGGTGAAGAATTTTCTACGAAAGTATAATAATTTTCTTGCTGTTTCACACGTAACATGATCTCAAATACACCTTTGATAAGTACCCTTTCGAATTATATACCAGTAAAATAATTTAAAATGATTAGTGCTATGGAAGTACTTTCATTGACCAATATATGAATACCATTTTGTTCTTTGGTGTAATCAGTGGTCAAGTTTTAAATTCTGGACTGCATACACAATAAAAGAACAACTATTTGAGAATGAAAACAATATTCTCTTGGTCCAGGAGTAATCCTGCAGAGTGAGTTGGGTCATCAAATGTCGCCAACCCATGCAAGGTTTTGCTGCTTTTGGGGGATTTGTTAGTATAAGGGCGGACCTGGCGCAGTGGCAGAGTCCCTCCACTTGTGGCCTGGAGGTCCTGAGTTCGAACCAGCCTCCTTGCAGAAATATTATGCAAGAGTAAGGCTGTCTGAAATTCCCTTCCCCACCCCCACCTTGTGTGGGAGCTTTCAGCACTGGGTATGTCCTTTTTTGGGGGGGGGGGTGGGGATTTGTTAGTAGGTTAACAGTGAAGTTACTTGATGAAAAATACCATTGCACTTTCGTTAATTAATTTTCAGCATTGTCATAAACTGATGATATGTGGATACAGTGCTAATTATGACCTTATTTCTACTCTTCCAGTTTTCTCTGTTACATTATCCATATGACTGTAGAGAACCATGCTGATTGAACTGTGATTAAATCTCTTAATTGTTGCAGCTCTGACTTCATTTTATTCGCTGGAGGGAATGTTTGGTCGTTGGACTGGTGCCCGAGGTTGTGCGACAAGCCTTCTTCTCCCGTAAATTGCGAGGTTGTGATCAACTGATTCTGAGCATGAACTAGTAGCTCTTGTTGCAAGTCGTGGCTTCAAAAAAGTTTATGTTGTTCACCACCAAATTTAGCAATGAGAAAAATGTCATCATCTATTTGCTTGGCATGTGGGTCACAAGCCCACATTTCAATGGCATATTGATTCGTTTTACTTCCAAAAAACCCGCCAGACAACCGTTGCAGCGCTTTTCTCAAGTGCATCTTTGCATGCAGGCTCATTGCTAGGTTGCACTTGTTTTCAGTGTCTATGAATAGTACTCCCACCGATCCAAATTACTTGTCGCTCAAATGGATGTATCTAGACGTATTTCAGTGCTAGATACATCTGTTTGAGCGACAAGTAGTATGGATCGGGGGGAGTACCTTTTTTTACTCGCAAGAATTTACTGGATTTACAAGGTATTTTATTGGTCTTAGAATTGCTGATCATGTTCTTTTATCTATTGCAGTATCTTGCTGTTGCTGCTCATCCTCCTGGTTCTTCTTACCATAAAATTGGTATGCCACTGATTGGCAGAGGCATCATTCAAGTTTGGTGTATTGTAGCACCCTTTGAAGAGGCACATACTGATCAGTCAATGCTTGCATACAGTAACAGCAATCGTAGAGGAAGGCCTAGAAAAATACCAAACGAGAACAATTCAATTGAGAGTTCATCAGTTCCTCGAAAACCAATAGGGAGACCGAGAAAGATAAAACTGACGACTGGGGATGATTGCACAGAACCTAGTAGTCTGAAAAAACCAAGGGATCACGCAGAACCTAGTCTGAAAAAACCAAGGGGCAGACCAAGAAAATATCCACTGTCAGTTGCCAAAGCGGTAGATTCAACAAAAAATAGCGGAAGTCCAGGTTCTAGTTTTGTTGACCCTCTTGTCACTTCAGGAGTTATTCCAGGCGATCTTGCATTATCTTGTGCTATACCATCTGTGAAGCCTGTGGAATCAGCTCCAAAAAAAGGCAGGGGTCGACCTAGGAAAATCCCAATTGACAAAATAAAGTGTTCGCCTGACACTGAATGGACAGAAGATATCTCTAGAGCTCTAATATGCTGCACGAAACCAAAGAAAAAAAGGGGGAGGCCCCGGAAATATCCACTCCCAAGCAGCAGCAAGCATGTTTCTGGCACTGATACTGAATTTGAAAGAGAAACTGGATACACGGAGTCTAATTCTAATTTAAGTCTTGTTACAGTTGATGCAGAACTACCAGTTCCATCTTCATCTCTTACAATTTGTGGGAAAAGATCAAGAGGTCGGAAGGGTAGAGGACGACCTAAAAAGGAAACAAATCCTTGTGCACTTTCTTCGTCAGTGGTTTCTGGTGTCCAATCACAGAGTAGGGAGACCATTTCAAATAATCCAGCACACTCTGTTGAGAATCATTTGCCATATGGACACTCTAGTTTGACAAGTGAGCTTAGTTCGATTGGCATGCTAAGATGTGATGGCAATGTGCACACAGGCCCCACTTTAGAAGATTCCTTGCTGCCTATGCATATTGCAGCTAAATCAAATGGCGAGGAATCAAGTGGTAGTAGGAGACGAGGACGTCCTAGAAGGAAGACACTTTCAAATACAAACAGTTGTTTATTTGCTTCTGGTACCGAGTCCTCAAAGGCGGCTGCTACAATTACCAATTTGGACAATCCCATGGCTTTGACCAAGAGTGACGGTGAAGCTATAGCAAGCGATCTTGCTTCAATTGGTTCGTTGAGGTGTCATATAGGAAAGTGCAATGTCAATATGAGTGTTGTATCATCTGATGCCACATCACCAACACATGGCTTGTGTAATGCAAATTACAAGGAAAAATTAAGTGCCCAACATAGAAAGAAGTCTGTTTCAGTAGAGTGTAGTTCTTCAACTGCATTATGCGGCAAAGAACAAAACAATCAGACAACTCCCCAGTCAAATGATAATGTGGCCTCAGTCCAAAATTGTAAGAAAGAATTAATTGTCTACACCAGAAGGCGTGTACGAGGACCTACAAAGAAACCTGCTTCAAATGAGACCTGCTCACTAGCTCTTAGTGGTGACGCGCAGAAGATGGAGAGATCCTCCATGTATATCATGCCAAATAATAATTTGTCTTCTGTTGAGAATCCCAAGCTACTGGGTTCATCTATAAGTGAAGACATGGCTAATGAGGCTGGTTTGGTTGGATGTAAGAGTGCACTTGCTAACCATGAAGTTGTGGAAATGAATGATAGTGAAGCTGCCAACAAAGTTGTGCCTGTTCCTTCTGAAAACAGTGCCCAGATCATTGTTGTGGAAGATACAGAAGTAGTTCCATCCAAAGAATCAAGTAAAAATGATATTATTACTTGTGCAGAAAACTCAAACTTTTCTGCAATCCCCAAAGGCATTCATCTACCAAGGGTCGTCTTGTGTTTAGCTCATAACGGCAAAGTTGCTTGGGACATCAAATGGAAGCCTCCTTTACCAAATCAGTCAGAACAGAAATCACATTTGGGTTTTCTTGCAGTACTGTTGGGAAATGGCTCACTTGAAGTGTGAGTACATCCTATGCTTGACCACCATTTTGAATTGTTTAGCCATCACTTTTTGAATATCACCACTTATTATGCACTTATTCATTATTGTGCACAGATGGGAAGTTCCATCTCCAAGCATGATCCAGAAAATATATTCCTCTTCTTCAGTGAAGGGCACCGATCCTCGCTTTCTAAAGCTGCAACCTGTATTTAGATGTGCTAAAGTTAAGTGCGGAAACATACAGAGGTATTCCAACTTTTACTTTCATCATTTTTCTATTAAAACTAGATGGCAGATTTAAATTTTCTGTCAAATTCATCAGCATGAATTTTCATTTTGAAGTCATTGCCTCTTTATAATGGTAAACAGCATTCCCTTGACAGTTGATTGGTCGCCTTATCCTCATGATATGATATTGGCAGGATGTCACGATGGAACGGTATCTTTTCTGCCTGTAGTAAATTATTTTCTTAGTTTAAATCTGATACCTGCACTGTTTGGTTAGTAGGTGCTTTGCTGAAAGTTTCGTGTTTCGATTTTGATGTTCCAGGTTGCTTTATGGAAGTTCTCTACAGACTTGCCATCACAAGGTATTTTATTGGTCTATTACCTCCCTTTTCATAGGATTTCTGTCACTTGCGCCATTCAGATGACATGTCTGACTCAGGAACTGCTTACTTCACATGTTTAAAGAGCAAGCTATTGGAATGCCTGAACTGCATATCTCTTATTTATTTCTTTTTTGTGTTATATTAACCAGTTGTTCTCGTTATGTATAGATTCAAAACCTTTTATGTGTGTCACTGCTGAATCTGTTCCCATCAGAGCCCTCTCGTGGGCACCATATGTAAGGTACTAAGCTGTGTTATACTTCTGTTCCATTCCAAAAGATAAACACTAACTTCTGACTCCGTATCATTTTGACAGTGAGGAAAACACAAATATCTTCGTCACTGCTGGAGAGGATGGCCTAAAATTCTGGGATTTAAGGTAGCATAAACTCTACTAGGAACTGGAATCAATAACTCAAATTTTGTTGTGGAGGAAACTACTACTCCCACCATATCAAAATATAAGATGTTTTTGTAGGCTTGTTTAGCTTACAAAAATGTCTTATATTTTGGTACAGAGGTAGTATTTGCTAACCCATTTCGGGTATATTGCATATATGGAGTTGTGCTGAGGCTTATCTCACTAGTCATAGTCAATATAATTTATTTTTTGGTTAAATATTTCACCTAGGAAGGTTTTTCCAAACGAATTGACTGCACTTTGCAATTTGAGAACCACGCATCTTTTGTGTGCTGTTTTGCAATGATAACATTTGGGTCAATAAATGAAGGTGTGTTTAATCTGCAGAATCTGTTATCCTCACATGAACAAATACAGCACACCTTTCAACGAAAAACATCGCCATTTAGTTGCCACAGCCCATGGCCGTTGTCAAGTTTTATGAAAATTTGAAGCGGAAGCAAGTAACCATAGGTGTAGCAGCTACTATTGAAGAGCACTTTTTTTTGGCACCAGCATAACCTTAATTGAGTACATACTGTCAGCAAACAGTAATATGATTGCTGGATTCACAATCTTTTCTTGCTTTGTTTTTTTTAATGAGCTGCAATGTTTGAATACTGAAATGCACCTCATATAACTCGTTTGTTGCAGAGATCCATACCGTCCTCTGTGGGAACTAACCACTGCCCCAAGGGCTGTTTTAAGTCTTCATTGGTTAAAGGAGGCTAGGTAATGTTTTGTGCCATTTGTAGCAAATTAATCTCATTCCGTTTGTAGTAATGAGTCCTGTTCCTTCTGGAGTAAATAAATCTTGCAGACACTAATGTACTCAGCTTCCTTCATTACATGACATTTACTTACCTTTCATCACTACCCAGTTGAGGATAGGGACTTGGTTTTAACTTTATTTTTCATTTTACCCTGTCAGTGAGAAACTAGGTAATTTCTGATGCACATATACATGGCTCATCTGATCTGTGTGATATGTCAGCATGCTAACTTGCTAAGGTAGATGTGTAGCTTATAAAAACTAATTAGTTCCTTTAATGCTTCTGTGTCCTTTACATTTCAATCTGTATTTAGTTTTTATAGCTTATAAAAAACATAAATGATTTTATCTACTCATGTGTATTCTACTCCCTCCGTCCCGAATTACTTGTCTTAGATTTGTCTAGATACAGATGTATCTAGACATGTTTTAGTGTTAGATACATCCGTATCTAGACAAATTTAAGACAAGTAATTTGGGATGGAGGTAATATATTTTTGTGCAAGGATTGCCCCTTTATTGGGAGGATCTATTGCATTACTTGATCATTGGCCCAACAAACAGTGATTGTTGCCCTAAACATAGTGAACATATATAGGACTCGTGTGGCTTGTAATGTTTGGTTTGAATTATTAACACTGAAGTTCACCTCACTTCTTTTTTTGCGTTCATTCATGATTACGTTTAACATTCCCTTGTTTGCAGTGGTATTGTTTGTGCCTACTGCCTAGTAAAATACACTGGTAAAATCTGTATGTGCGGAAAGTTCTATTGAGCTCCCAAATGGGGCCTTACTCTGTATATATATGCGGTTATAGATATTTTCTGTCTACTAGGTTAATAACATTAACTGTTGCTATCTTTCATGTTCAGAGGTATTGTCATCTCACTGGAAGATGGCACATTGAAGTTCCTCAGCCTACCTAGAATTGCCAATGATGTTCCAGTCACCGGAAGGCCATTTGCTGGGACTAAAACTCAGGGCGTTTCTACTTATCAGTTGTCAGAATATTTGATATGGAATGTCCATGTCTCAGAAATTACCGGTACATTTCCAGAACCATGCCTAACCATACTCAATATCCGGCCTAAGTAGTATGCAGTTACAAGTTACTAAGAATTCTTGACTTGTTTGTCTAGGGCACATCTAGATGTGCCCTAATTATTGCACATCTAAGTGACTCGGTCAAACTAGAAAGGAAAAGACAAAAGAAAATGCCTGCACGAATCTCTGTAAAATCAATGAGATAGGACTTAGATGTGCAATACTTAGGGCACATCTAGATGTGCTTTAGCAAAACTGTTCAGGGAACTATCTGGAATCTGGAAACACATTATGCGGGACTCTCCATACACTGTTGTGTTAAGTAAATGAATATAAAGCTTATAATTATGTTATTGCGGCATATAGTGATACTTGAACAGCTTATTAGTTTAGTAATATTAATACCTTGTATGATATTCTGTTTTGGACACTGGATCACCTTTTTTGTGATACTTATTATGCTAATATATATTTTTCCTACATTTTGGACACTTGATATTAAAGATATATAAATGAATCTCTATATAGAAGCAAGGGAGAATGACTAGCTTCTTGTACAATATCAACCTTAAGCACATATTGGTGGAATCTTATAATTGCTATGATCCTTAATTTTGCCTACATACAGGTTATGCGGCTTATTGTGTGGCAGATGGTACTGCTGTGCGCTTCCAGGTAAACCCGCTAGCCTGTACTCCATAACCATGGTCATTTTCTACTTCTGCTTGTCATACAGAATCTCATGTGTGCTAAACAAATATTGCACGTGTAGCTTACTTCGAGATTCTGGGAGAAGGAACCTGGGAGGAACCGTGTGCCCTATTTCCTTTGTGGTTCGCTAGCAGAGGAGGGGACAGCCATTAAGATTGGTGGAACATTGCAAAGCCCTCCTATGTCAAACGTTCCTCTGGTTGCAAAAAAGGGCCCAAAACCATGCCAAAAAGTACCTAAAGCCCACGATACACAAAAAGAGCAAGTACTAACCCTCACCAACTCAGGTAAAAACTCTCTCCATTTTGCTGCAACTTGTATCGTTGCCTTACTGCCTGACATGCCTGGTGAACTACCCTGCAGAACATGTAGATCCAGAACCCAGAGAGGGCCGAGAAGATGGACCTGATAAAGGCCAAGAGACTCTGGTTTTAGCTGATTCTCTAATGCTAGAGAATGGTGGCACATGCAATGTCCCAGCTGATGAAGACACTAAAAACTTTGAGCTCTTCCCTCCCAAAGCTGTAGCGCTGCATCGACTGAGATGGAATATGAACAAAGGTAGCGAGAAATGGTTATGCTACGGAGGCGCCGCAGGCATCATTCGTTGTCAGAGGATCTAAAAGGCAAGCACAATTGGGGAATGTTCGCCGCAACCCAGGATCATCCGTATGTATCCACCTACACAATAAGCTGTCGCAGCATCTGCTGTTACTTGGAGCAATATATGGTATGTTTGTCCGATTCAACCTTTCAATGGGTTGCCATTGCGGATTTCCAGTTACGCACTGTTATACATAACAGAGCTATGTATCTTAGGAACTCCAACAGATCCTTGTAGTTTAGGAAAGTTCAGGCAATATGAGCTACCAGGTCCTGCATATCTTGGGCTCAGCAAATCATAGTTCTGAGAATATTAGCAGCTCAGCAACACAATAAATGGTAGGTCTGGAATAAGTGCGGGCTAGGCGCCCGCAACTTCTCTGAACCTGGTGCAAGTTGTAACTGAGTTTTTTTTCCCTGTAAGGCACATATGTACATCTATTGTTTACGCAGTCACACAAATTCAGCAATGTCGTGCCAGTTGTAACATGGACAAACTGAACAATGTCGCACCAATATGTTATAGATTAATAATGGAAATCAGGAGCCATTGCTCTTGATCAAAAGTTGCATGATACTTGCATCATGTAAACTTAACAGTAGAACTCATGTGTCTTCTGCTGCTGGGGACCCTGTTCATAACAAGACCAATGGCAATAGTAATTTGGTTTTATATTAATTTCATCATTGTTCCCTTCAGGAACTTCAGCATCAGAGAAGGCATAAAACATGTGCAATGCTTTAGCAAGAAAAAGGTACATAAATAACAGTTGGGTGAACCATACATAGTACTCTCCTCTTTTTGTGATGATGTCTGAATACATAAGTTTCAATGAACTACAAAAAATTCAAATTCTAATGTACAACATCCTCTCAGAGTGGTAACCAAACACAAGTAATTACTGGTTCGTGTAATACCTAATAAGACCCCTGATTTTATTTCGGCATCACTTGTGTCAATATTGTTAGTAACCTTGTATATACACATGCTCAACTCATAAGTTCTCTCCCTCAAAAAACTCATAAGTTCTTAGTCACTCCAGTTATCCTCATCAGCTGCAAAACCCTCTTGCCGCTTGTCATCGTCTTCCTGCAGATATTTAGCAGCGTCAAATCATCAAATTTACACGTAAACTTTGTACTAAATTCCTTCTCAAACTCCCATTGGGAGAATATTAACTCACTAGAAAAATGCAAAAACACTGCATATGGTGTCAATAGATAGATTTTATACCATTTCAGTCAAAGCAGGAGTCGATGGAGACCACACAAGAATTTGTCGATCATTGCTACCAGTATAGAGTTCCTGCATTCTCGAATATTTAGGAATGGAATACACGTTGAAACACTAAAGCTTAGAGAGGACAATAGAGGGAAAACTTACTTGGTCTTGTGAGTTATAGTAGCAGCAATTTACATGGTCATAATGCCCACGGAATGTTTGAAATGTCGTACCAGACCATGTATTGTATGCCTAAGCAAGTATAATACTTAGACGTGAACTTCAAAATGCAGAATGAAGCCATAAAGCTGGGAAAGCAACAGCATACCTTGATGCTTGACATGCATGGAATGAAAACAAGTGATGGATCATCAGTGACAGCTAATTGTAGTGGCTTGCTAGTTTGCAATCGCATGGCTTCAAAATTGACCAAAGTATTGCAGCCTGAATCGATATCCCAGAGTCTTAAACGAGAATCAGATCCTGAAGAGAAACGATAACCTCTTCTTAATAACAGGCTTAAGCTTAAATTATCATCGTTGCACTGCATGCCAATTTCAGGCATAGCAGCAGATAACCAATAGAGAAGAAATTAACTCAACCTGAGCTAAGAAGGTGCATCCCATCTGTTGTTGTTCTTAATCCTGTAACAGCACCATAATGAGCTGTTTTATGATTTTGACTGGATGACATACCGGGATGCACTTTCTGTTGCGTATGTCCACGTACCATGGTTAGACTTTTGCGTAGTGCTTTGGACTGCTTCTTATGATTGCCTGTCCTCTGCTGAACTGAGTAACTCTTTGATGAAGATGAACGTCCTAAGTTCTTCTGATGCTGCTTAAGACGAAAAATATATATGCATTGAAGATGTCAACTAGCAGATGTACTTGCACGTCATCAACCATCTTTCGGACACAACAATGAACAACACAAGAACCTAATAATATTAATTATCTCCCATTGTACTTGCATGACATCAACCATTTTTTCAGGACACAACAATAAACAGCAGGAAGGAACCTTGTGTAGAGCAGCATTGATTATCTCCCAATGAAATGCAGATCCCATCTTTTAAGAACTAGAGCACTACACTGATCCATACCATATATATATGATGATGCTAAAACAATGACATAGGCCTAGGACATGAATATATACCAGATATCCGCTTGTACCCTTTTCTTGCAGGAAAAATCCACTCCTACTTGGAGACCTAACAGTTTTGGAATAGTAGCCAGAATAATAGCAAGCAGTTCTGTATTAGCCCTGCGAGCAAATATAATCTGAAGAAATAACCAAACCCAGAAGCAGATAAAAGTAAAGGATGACGGCAAGCATACGTTGTCCGTGGTGCTATCAATAATGGGAGGCCGTCTTCCTAGCTGAGACCGTAACTGATCAAGGACAAGGAAGCATCCAGCTCGTCTTATGTCCCAAAAACGTATCGCCCCGTCGCAGCCACCACTCATTAGGATCCACTCGCTTGAGGTAGACCACTCCAAAGACATGATACCATCTGAGATGATCGATGAGGATAAGCATAAAAAACAAAACAAGAATGGTGTTTCATCATCACACTAGCAGGAAGGGACTAACCAAGATGACCGGACAACGTGTGAGTAAAGGCTCCGGAAGCAATATCACACAAACGGACCTGAACGTCTGCGCTTCCGGTTGCGATGAGCATATGCGTTGTTGCAATTGGGGACATTGCAGCACTGTACACTTTTCCGGGCATCTTAAAATCCATGACCACCTAGGAAAAAGAAAACCAATCCCAGAATGACCAGAACATCTGAATCAACACCTCAACGGGGCAAAATATTAAGATCGGCATCAAACAAAGCAAAACACACATACTTGACTGGAATTGGTATCCCACACTTTGACATAGTTATCGAAGGAGGCCGTGACGAACAGCCCGGTGTCCACAGGATACCAGATGGCCTTGGAGACGGTGAACTTGTGGCCATGCTGATGCTGCCTGTCCACGAGCAGAATGCTCCTGTGCTTGGCTATGAACCCGGCCTCGTACTCCGTCGCGTCCTTGAGATCGAAGACGGCGGCCGATCCGTCCGACGCCCCCGAGAGCAGGTACCTCCCCTCTGTCAAATCAACCTGGCCATATTGTCAAATTACGAACGCCGGCAACGTCGATTGACGCATCCGCACAGAAGTTCGATCTCGCTAGGCGCAGTTTCTCGACGCATTAACACGCAAAATTAATAGTACCGCTGATCTGTGCGCTACGCGCAGCTGATGCGGGGGCGGCGGGCGGGGAGGCAGTGACAGGGGGCGATTGGGGGAGCGAGGGGGAAGAAGGGGACCTGGAGGGAGTTGACGGCGCCGAGGTGCGGGGTCGCGATCTCCTTGCGGTTGGAGAGCGCGAGCGAGGCAGCGCGGCGCGAGCGGGCGAGGGCCTCGAAGCGCCGCGGGCGCAGCTCCCCGCGTTCCCTCCTCCTCACCTCCTCCCACCACATCCACTCGGGGCGCGCCGCGGTGTATGCGCTCTGCGGCGGCGAACGGCGACAGAAGTCGGGCGCGAGCGAAGGGGGAGGGCGGCGCGAATCGGGCGCCTGCTGAGCTGACCGGTGAGGTAGGGGACTCAATTGTTGCCCTTCCATTAAATTCAGCGGTTATATCCAGATGTCAGTGGTGTACACGTGTCCTCCTATGGATGTGATGAAACGATTGTAAACAGTAAATCACTACTACTTAAAAAGAACATAAGGTTCCGTTTCACCTTTCTTCTCACCACCCTTTTATCCAACCTTCAACGTATATGATAATCAATCATCTTAGTTTACTTACCTTCTGAACAAATTTCACTTTACTTTACTTATCACTATCATATCATACTACTTAAAAAGAACATAAGGTTCCCGTTTCACCTTTCTTCTTACCACCTTTTGTCCAACCTTCAATGTATATAATAATCAATCATCTTAATTTACTTACCTTCTGAACAAATTTCACTTTACTTTACTTATCAAACTTCTAATCAAAATATAAGGTAATTCACGGTCAGAATTTGATGAACATTTATTTACACAATTGCATTATTATTGACAGGTAAATCACAAGCTAACGTAATAGAATATTTATATCCCGTTGCAATGAACGAGCATTGTTCTAGTAACAAAAATAGATGGATTGAGTGTGTTCTTTAGGCTGTTGCTAATGTATGGGTGCTTAGAATAGCTTATCAACTATACTCCTCAATGCATAGGTGCTTAGCTTATGGTTGCTAAGCTTGCTTCATATAATGATTTAGCAACTAAAGCTCTTCATGTATTGGTGGGCTTTCTTTTTTAAATGTTTTGCCTAGGTTCACGCGCTTAGCATTGTTTCTTGTGGGGTTACTACACTCATCTCTCTCCTTTTAAATAACTTACCACATCAGATTTTTTACCTACCTGGAAGACTTAGCATATGTACAAGGTGAAGCACTGGGAGGAGCCTTATTGATGATAACAAAAACGGAATAGTAGATGGATTAAGCGTGTTCTTTGCTCCTTGGAAAAAGAGTGTTCTTTACTAATGATCACATGTGTTTTAATTGGTAGTCTTGTATACTTCTTTAAAAAGACATGAAAAACAGGAGGTGTGACATGCAATCTTATATTTTTGTGTGTATACTATCTAATCGAAACATTTTCATGAGAACCTTGAGAGTAAGATGATAATTGAACGAGTTAATACTCAGCAAACGACTCCCGTTGATTTTGTGAATCTCAAAGTCGTCACCTAACAATCCCACGAGCCTAGAAGTTTCATTCTCTTGAATCGCAACCTCCTCCCCTACGAAGGAAGGATAGCAAGTTCAGCAAAGGGCCCGCGACAACGTTCACAAAAGAAGGATATCAAGTTCACCATTGCAATGGATCGACCTTTGAGGGAGTCCTGGACTAAGGGGTCCTCGGGCGTCCGACCTGTTAGCCATGGGTCGGACTGATGGGCTGTGAAGATACAAAGACCGAAGACTTCACCCGTGTCCGGATGGGACTCTCCTTGGCGTGGAAGGCAAGCTTGGCGACTAAATATGTAGATTCCTTTCTTTGTAACCGACCTTGTGTAACCCTAGATCCTCCCGGTGTCTATATAAACCGGAGGACTTAGTCCGGAGGAGATACATTATCATAGCCATACAAGCTAGACCTCTAGGGTTTAGTCATTATGATCTCGTGATAGATCAACTCTTGTAATACTCATATTCATCAAGATCAATCAAGCAGGACATAGGGTATTACCTCCATAGAGAGGGCCCGAACCTGAGTAAAACATTGTGTCCCCTGTCTCCTGTTACCATCGACCTTAGACGCACAGTTCGGAACACCCTACCCGAGATCCGCCGGTTTTGACACCGACATTGGTGCTTTCATTGAGAGTTCCACTGTGCCGTCATCAAGAGGTTCTATGGCTCCTTCAACCATCTACAACGATGCTGCCCAAGGGGGAGTTTTCCTCCTCGGATAGATCTTCGTGTTCGGCGGTTTCGCTCTGCGGGCCAACTCGCTTGGCCATCTGGAGCAGATCGAAAGCTGCGCCCCTGGCCATCAGGTTAGATTTGGGAGCTTGAACTATGTCGCGGACATCCGTGAGGACTTGATCTTCACCGAATTCGAGACCGCGGCTACCACTCCTGGCCACCCCGAGGGACATGACCTAAATTTGTCATCGGACTGCTTCCAGGAGACAGCTCCCATAACCGCTGTGGCCTTAGATCCGGAGCAAGCTGCGCCATCCAAGGACGGGAAGCTCAACCCCGCTACAGAGGCCACAGATTCCCCGATGTTGGAGCCGCACATAGACTTGATCTCACACGTTACCCGTGCCATCGGAACTCCGGACTCATTTCCGGCCGTAAGTTCCGAATCATGTGAGCTCGCGGACGCCGAACTTGATCGTTTATCGATCTTCGAATTCAGCGCCGCAGACATCTTCCAGCACTCGCCTTTGGGCGACATGCTAAACTCGTTAAAGAATCTGTCCTTGGCAGAGGACTCACAGCCGAACTATATCCAGTTCGAACTAGGGGCTGATGATGGAGAATTTTGCTCCCCACCCGCCACCCACTTTATAGCCACGGTCGAAGATTTAACCGACACACTTGATTACGACTCCGAGGACATCGACGGTATGGACGACGATGCCGGAGAAGAAGAGGCCCAGAACCCACCGTTCACCAAACGCTGGACGGCCACTTCCTCGTATGATGTATACATGGTGGATGCACCAAAGGAGAACAACGGTGATGACAAGGAAGATCCAGCTGAGGATAAACCTTCCGAAATACAATCCAAGCATCGGCGTCAGCGGCGCCGCTCTAAGTCACGCCGCAGTAAAGACAGCAACACCGGCACAGGAGAAGATAACACTCCAGAAGGTGCCGAAGACAACGAAGACCCCATTGAAACAGCTAATGAAAAAGATGAACGGGAAGATGGGCATGTTAGCCTTCGTAAACAGGCCACGCACGAAGACTCAGAGGACGGAAGTTATCTTCCGCTCTCCGAGGATGAGGTGAGCCTCGGCACCGACGATTTCATCATGCCTGAGGAACCTCTTGAGCAGGAGCGCTTCAAGCGCCAGCTCATAGCCACTGCAAGGAGCCTGAAAAAGAAGAAGCAGCAGCTTCAAACTGATCAAGATCTGCTCAATGATAAATGGACCGATGTCCTAGCAGCCGAAGAATACGGCCTCAAGAGCCCAACCAAAATTTACCCAAAGCGCAAATTGCTACCTCAGTTTGACAAGGAGGCGCCGGAATACATACCACCATCGTACAATGCGGCTGACCAACCACCACGTGGTCGGGACAAAATGACAACTCACGCCGAATACCAGCCCGCCCCGCCTCATCGCAGAGGTAGGGGTAAATTAGCCCACGGCCATACATATGACCTTCGGCAAAACCTGAACAATAAAGCAGGACATACCAGATCAATCTACGGATCTCGAGGACGTGCCTCGACACGCGATGACGGCCACCTATTCGGACATGACAAACTTAGTCATGCGCGGGCTGAAAACCGCAGACGGACTCCATCAGAGCTACGTCGTGATACGACCCGATATAGAGGCGCTGCACACCCCATTGCTTCACTGATGAGGTCATGGATCATGAATTCCCATAAGAGTTCAAACCCGTGAATATAGAATCATACGATGGAACCACGGACCCGCGTTGTGGATCAAAGACTTCATTCTCCACATTCATATAGCCCGCGGGATGACCTCCACGCCATCAAATACCTCCCTTTAAAACTCAAGGGGCCAGCTTGGCACTGGTTAAACAGCCTGCCTGAAAATTCTATCGGCAACTGGGAGGACTTGGAAGAAGCCACCAGACACCGATGACTTAATCCACATAGTTCAACAACCTGGAGAGTCCGCCAGGAAATTCTGGACTAGGTTCTTAACTAAAAAGAACCAAATCATCGATTGTCCGGATGCTGAAGCCCTAGCAGCCTCCAAACACGGCATCCGCGACGAATGGCTCGCTCGCCACTTCGGCCAAGAAAAGCAAAAATCCATGGCGGCCCTCACGGCACTCATGACCCGCTTTTGTGCGGGCGAGGACAGTTGGTTGGCCCGTAGCAAAAACAATGCAAGCGACGCCAGCACCCCTGAAGTTAAAAATAACAAAGACAAGTCTTGACGTAACAGATACAAGCGTCGAAACAACAGTGATAACACCGAAGAAACTGTGGTCAATGCCGGATTCAGTGGCTCTAAGTCCGGTCAGCGGAAGAAGCCGTTACAAGAGAACAATTCAGGCCCATCCAGCTTGGACCGCAGACTTGATCGTGCGTGCCAGATTCATGGCACCCCGGACAAACCACCCAATCATACAAATAGAGATTGCTGGGTTTTTAAACAGACCGACAAATTAAACACCGAGAACAGGGAAAAGGGATCGCAAAGCAAGGACGATGACGAAGAGCCCCGGCAACCGAACATAGGGGGACAAAAGAAGTTTCCCCCTCAGGTCAAAATGGTGAACATGATATACACTACCCACATCCCCAAGAGGGAGCGCAAGCACGCGCTCAGGGACGTCTACGCGATAGAGCCAGTCGCCCCAAAATTTAATCCATGGTCGTCATGCCCGATCACTTTTGATCGCCGGGATCATTCGACCAGTATCCATCATGGTGGTTCAGCCGCACTGGTCCTAGACCCAATAATTGATGGGTTCCACCTGACTTGCGTCCTTACGGACGGAGGCGGCAGCCTCAATCTGCTCTATCGGGATACATCGCGAAAAATGGGCATTAACCCATCACGGATCAAGCCCACCAGGACTACCTTCAAAGGAGTCATACCAGGTGTAGAAGCCTGCTGTACAGGCTCAATAACACTAGAGGTTGTCTTCGGATCTCCGGATAACTTCCGAAGCGAGGAGTTAATCTTCGATATCGTCCCCTTCCATAGCGGCTATCATGCACTGCTCGGACGAACTGCATTTGCTCGATTCAACGCAGTAGTACACTATGCTTACCCCAAGCTCAAGATGCCCGGTCCACGCGGCGTCATAACAGTCAACGAAAATACGGAACGCTCCCTCCGTACAGAAGAGCACACAGCTGCCTTGGCAGCAGAAGTACAGAGCGGCCTTCTCAAGCAGAACCTTAATTCGGCTCCCGAGCCCACGGACACCGTTAAGAGGGTCCGAACTACTCTGTAGCAGGATAGCTCGGCTCGTCAGGAGCTCGACTAGCAATCGGGCCTCCTTCCCAGTCCCGATAAAGTGGTGGCATTCATGCCACGCATACATAACTACGCACTCAAAATCCCATGGGCATCGACGGAGGCATAGCTAGCTTGTGATCCATAGTACGGCTCAACCGACATCGGATACACATACTTTCACTTTCACTTATTTCCTTTGCAGGTCTCAATCCCACAGGCCCCATCTGGTGTACTGGTCATCGGTCCTCTTGAAGGATAAAAACACCAAGACGGCGAGAAACGCAGACATATGGGGACTTTTTAGGTGATTCCGTTAACGATAACTCTCCCTGTTTTTTAGGACCCACATGCAGCTCTCCCTTGGTTTTGGCATGCTAAATAGCCTGTTGCTTATCGCACTACCTGTATCAATGCGCCTTGACGTACTAATTAAATTACAATGAGAACAGTTTGCGGCTGGAGCTTTAGGACCCTAGCTTTTTACCTTTGTACCTTTTCTGTTTTCTTTCTCTTTTTCAGCTCCCCTGTGGATAACCCTATCAGGTAGCACCCGTACACTTTGGTACGTTTGATGTTTTCTAGGGGCTTCATAGCACCCCACATTACGACAACAAAAGTCTGAACACCTTTTATAAGTATAGTTCGGCACCCCGAATTTAGCATTATATGCATTGGCTCCGAATCATGTCTTTGGTCAATAGTTGGGTTGCCTGGCTCCTGTGCTTGCTACCTTATGTTCCGCTATATCGGCTAAGGTAGTAAAGGGAGAACTACTGTGATTGTGTCTTGGTTTATCCAAAGGAGCACCTCAGTAGAGAAAGACGAAAACTGACTGTCATGATGCGGCAAGAGCCGGTATGCTGTTCGGAGGTTACAAATCTCTTCCGCATTACGCGAAGGATCGGTACTTCCCGATCAGACGCTTATAGCACTCTAGTTCAGATACTAGGGGCTGCACCCATGTTTTTATTATAAAACTCCTATGGCTAAGTGAGGGCGTTCAAGCCGTATAGTCTGGTTGCCTGGTTCATTGCGCTAAACAACTCCTTCAAGGACCATATAATTGGATAAAGATTATTTAGATTCCATCCCGAACACCCCCGTACTACCTACGTGGGGGCAGAAGCCGACGACTGGCCAACCCTCAGATTTCATACAACACGACCGCACAGGAGGAAAAAATTAAAACATAACAAGCATTATATTACACAACATCGTTGATTCATGTTACATGACATGATAATACGAATATTTTCATGTGAATATAACATCCTTCGCACATTGCTCCGCCATAAGGCAGGATCCCTCCAGGACACCATCAAAATATAACTCAGAACATCGGTGCTCCTTGCCCTCAGACGGCCCCTCGGTCATCAGCATCTTGGCATCCATCTTCGCCCGGTGCATCTTGACACGGGCAAAGGCCATCCGGGCACCTTCAATACAGACCGATTGCTTTATGGCCTCAAGCCGTGGGCAGGCACTAACAAGCCGCTTCACAAGTCCGAAGTAGCTGCTGGGTATCGGTGCGGCAGGCCATAGTCGGACTATCAGGTCCTTCATGGCTAGCTCGGCCGCCTTGTGCAGCTCGACCAACTATTTTAGCTGGTCGATGAAGGGCACCTAATGTTCTGGTCCAAGATATTGAGACCAGAACAACTTCTTCGAAGAACACCCTTCCTCGGCTCGATAGAACTCAACAACATCTGATACGCTGTGCGGCAAATCCCTAAACACCCCTGGAGAGCTCCAAATTCGGGTAAGTAAAAGGAATGTTTCCTTCACAGACTTGCTTTGCATAATGAAAGCCTTACCTGCCGCAATCTTCTTGGCCACCTGGGTTTCCTAAAGGGCGCTCTGGGCCTCGGCTCGAGCCTCTTGTGCGCTCTGGCGGGCCTTCGCAAGTTTGGACGCTTGCGTCTTAGAATCACGCTCCAAGGACTCATACTTCTTGACGGCGTCCTGAAGCTCTTGCTGGACCTCGCTGACCCAGGCTGAGGGAGTCCTGGATTAGGGGGTCCCAGAACAGCTGGACTATATCCTTTGGCCGGACTATTGGACTATGAAGATACAAGAGTGAAGACTTCATCCCGTGTCCGGGTGGGGCTCTCCTTTGAGTGGAAGGCAAGCTTGGCAATTCGGATATGTAGATCTCCTCCCTTGTAACCAACTCGGTGTAACCCTAGCCCCCTCCGGTGTCTATATAAACCGGAGGGTTTAGTCCGTAGGATAACAACAATCATTATCATAGGCTAGCTTCTAGGGTTTAGCC